CTCCTCATTTGCGCCACCTTTTTTATTTATTTTTATTTTTTACAGCTACAGCCCTTTTTTCTTCCATGTTCAGTTTTATGAAAGATGGCAGGGTTTATTTCCTCTTTAGTTAATGTCACTTTACTTCCTGACTTTATTATGTTCCTGCTTTTCTCAAACAAGCTTATTATCTAAATCGGATATTTCGATCACAAACACGCATAAAATCAAAAGCTGAGACAAATTTGTGGCAGAAAAGTAAACTACATAAACTGAAAGAGGTGAGAAAGAGAAGGTGAAGAAAAATGCAGTTGGCTTATTTATATTTCTTTTTTCGTTTCAGTTAAATGCTTCTTCAAGAAGAAAAATCCGAGTTGTGCAATAGTTTATCAGACTTTTTTTTAGTTTTTTAAAAAGTTTTTCTTTGGGTATTGAATGCTTTTATTGAAGTTTTTTCTTCATTTGATGGCGGAAAATGCCAAATGTCATACAGTTTAACAGACAGAAAATAGGAATTTAGCAGCAACTAACAGATTTGGGCCTAAAAAGCCTTTGATCATCACGGCCTCTCCGGGCTTAGATAACACACTGACCTCTGACCTCTGCAGCCCAAATACTCACTGTGTGTATCTCTAATGTAAACAGCGGTCTGGGTTTGAGCTTTGCTTTGTTTACCGGGGCTGAGCGCCCCCCCCCCAGGCCCGGACTGAGGCCTTTGTCCCCGCGTTTGTCCCCAGGTTCTGGGCTTTGACTGGAAGAACTGCGGGCAGCCGGACGCCCCCGCCGTCCTGCGGACGCTGGCCCTGTCCCCGGACCCCATCAGCATCCCCGGGGACCTGACGGCCGCCGCCTCCGGCGCCACCGCCGTGGAGCTGGCCGCGCCCCTCTCTGTGAGTGGGAGGGGCTCTGCGGGGCTCCTCTGAGCTGCTGGACTTTGGGTTTTTCTGCCTCAGAGCTAGACCGGTCCAGATCCCATATCTGGACCGGATCGGCCGGCAGGAGAAAACGCAGATCCAGACTCCAGATCCAGTTTAAGAGAACGGTTACAGAGATGGTCAACTACACAGTCAGATAATCATCAGAGTTTATTAAAAGCTGTTTCATTATTTTTAGAGGAGCTGAAAGGTATATTTTTATGTTCTAAATTGGTCTTTGGAAGAATAAAAAGAAGTCTTTGGACCCCGAAAGATACTAAATTTAGTCTTAAGGAGTGATTAATTTTTGAAAGTGTGGATTTAAAATATAGCTTCATGAAAAAAATGACAGATATTCCTTAAAGAGTTTGATTTAGTGTTTTTATAAATAAGATGTCAGCTTATCTACTGAAAGCTGTCCTACAGTGCCATCTACAGGCCGGACCCGGAAACTACAGGACACCAAACTTTACTGTCTATACGAAATAGGAAGACAAACGATGTCCTAACCCTAATCCTGACCCTAACCCTAAACCTGATCCTGACCCTAACTCTAACATCCACTATTTTAACATAATATTAAGGATAGAGTTTAATTCAGTGTTTGCAAGATTCTTTTCACTATTTTTTTTTTACCCAAACTCGTCCAAAACAGACCCAAACTGCGCATTTTTTTGCAAATATCGGCGGCCGATCCGATCCAGATGTGGGATGGGGACGGTCCTAACATCTGTAGAAAAGCCATGGGTGTGTGTTCCCGCCAGCAGAGGGCGCTGACGGCTGTTTGTCCCCCCCCCCCCCCCCAACCCCCACCCTGGAGAAAGAGGTGGCGGGCTTCTGGGTGAGGGTCCCCTGCGTGGAGGAGCTGGGAAGCTGTCACTATGGCGACGCCTGCGCGGTCCTGAGCCAGCTGACCCCCCCCGGGCAGGACTGCCCCGAGCCC